CTCTCTCTCTCTCTCTCTCTCTCTCTCTCTCTCTCTCTCTCTCTCTCACTGAGAGGCAAGCATAGCAACCAAACCAGCAACAAACTCCAGAAAAGAATTTATATTGGGGGGCAATTTAAAACAGACATCCACAACACCAGGTAAGCTGTAAGGCTATTTGTTGCCTTTACCTCATACAAATGGTGGGTTGGCTTTCCCAGGTTATGGGCCTCCTCTGTATCCCTAACCACAGCTTGAGAGGCAGGTGTGGGATGTTTAACTCTGGTTCAGTTGTCAGCTTCGGGGCACAAGAATAGGCCAGGCATTTTATTTCCATGTTTCAACAGACCTAAGATTCATTGTAAAACTAGATTCAGTGTAAATGGGGGGTGGATTTAGGATAAGAGGCTTTGCGGAGATGGCTATGGGCAAGTGCTGAATATATTTCAGAAATAGGCTAGTAGGAAAAAGAGTCAAGAATTATTAGCAGAAAAAACTGCTAATTCAAGGGCTAAAGATATTATAGGAGAAGGGCCATATTAGTCGAGCTAGGACAGCTCAAAATCAGAAGCAATCTGGATGGTAGCTCTTTTTCAGATTAACAACTTTTACTAAAAGGCATAATTTTTGGTGAGATATAGCTTACTTCCATCTCCTTCTGATTAAGATTTAGAAGAATAACCTCAACTTTAGCAACTCAGTCTGCACTAAAAGTTTCTTTCAAGTTGCTCTCATGACTTCATGGAAAAATATATTACTTTCTTCACAACAGAGCAAAATAATTTTTTTGCCACATCTTTCTTGCAAGATCTTATTCAGTTTCCAAATCTATCCTATAGCCCTAGTTGTCTCTCTTCCAAGTACTAGCCTGTTCCAACTCTCCTTAGCTTCCAATCTAGAAAAGCTCAGTAAGGTGCTGGCAACAGTTATGGCTTTTCTTGATCTAGAAAATCCATTAAAGTAATAATAATAATAATGAGCAATATAATACCACAGATTTGACAATTGTTGATAAAAAAGACAAAAAAGGCTGGATAGTGGGTGTTATAGGACCCAAAGACAGCAGAATAGAAGAGAAAACTGGAGAAAATCACAAAATACAAAGACCTGCAAATAAAAGAATAATTATGGAAAGAAAAAAAAGGAAGGAAGGAAGGAAGGAAGGAAGGAAAGAAAGAAAGAAGAAAGAAAGAAAGAAAGAAAGAAAGAAAGAAAGAAAGAAAGAAAGAAAGAAAGAAAGAAAGAAAGAAAGAAAGAAAGAAAGAGGAGGGAAGGGAAGGGGAGAGAGTGAGAGAGAGGAAGGAAGGAAGGAAAGGAAAGAGAGAGAAAATGAGAGAGAGAGAGAGAAAAAGAGAAAGAAAGAAAAAAGGGAGGGAGGGAGAGAGAGATGAAGGAAGAAAGGAAAGAAAAGAGAGAAAATGAGAGAGAAAGAAAAAAGAAAGAAAAAGAAAAAAGAAAGAAAAGG